TTTCTCTCCACTTCGGCCCCATCAGTAACGCGACAAATCCAATGCTCAAAAGGCTAAAGAAAGCGAGCCTCCTTTCCTTGCGCTCACCTCCCGAGACCAAAGCTATCGAAGTTCCTTCAAACACGACGATCCCCTTGGAACTCGTCTACAAAATAATCGATGACTATTGGCGTGTTCTGGTTTGCGAAAATGGAGACCTGGGCCTCAGAAGTCTCTCACACACCTGCCGCCCGTTATGGAACTACTGCAGGCCTTTCCTGCTTCACTCCGTAACACTCTATGGCCGTCACCAGCCACCACTGACTCTGGATCGGGTGGACGTGGTAACAAGACCTACAGCGTTCGCGAAGCTGGTTCGCACCTACCCAGAGATGGCGAACCATGTGAAAGAGCTAAGAATTGCGCTCTTCCAAGCACCCCTATCCAAGGAAGGCCAGGCGTTGAGGAAGATCGGGTTAGATTCCCCAGAGGATGATATTGTGCCATGGCGGAAGCTCCTCACCGCCACCTACTTGAGCCTCACAAACCCTTCACATTATACTCTCTTGGGAGACTGGTCTCTCCCAAGATCCTCGAAACCCTTTTCACTGCCATCGAGGCCATGTCATGCCTCCAACATCTCCAAATCGAAGGCGCTGGTTTACCCATCCACGACCTGCCGGCGATCTGCCCACCATCGTTGAAAGAGCTTGCAATATACGGATCTTGCGGGTTCGATCAGCCGTCACAACGGCTGGACGTTCCTCTCCCCCGCCCTCCTTGTCAGTTACTGACCTTGACTCTCGAAGTCGATGTTCCCACTTCCTGGTTCCCTTCCCTTCTCCTTGCTGAACCTCCGTCGCACATCAGCGTCAAAAGTCTTCGACACCTGCAAAGTCAGTCGTACTACCTTAGTCAAGGCCTCATGAAGGTACATCAGGCGTGCTCGAGCTCGCTGCGATGTACTCACCTTGCCTTTGACCACCAGTTTGTAGGATACGTCGACGATGATGTCGGCGTCCTCAACCTCGGTGAGCTACCTGCTCTAACACACCTTGAGGTTGCTACGCCCTGCTCCCGGCCTCACCTCGTCACTCTTCTTACATGGTTAGAAGCAACATTATCCACTCTTCGGAAGTTTCCATCACGCATCGCCAAATTCACCATCTGCCTCCTCCTCGAGACCCAGACCACGGAGCTTTGCCCGGATGTATACGATGCGCATATGAACACATGGCGCTCCGTGGTCGATAAAGGACATTGGCACCATCTCGAACTCGCAAAAACAGTTGGATTCTCGTTGCAAACCCGTCTTCGCACCTCGAAATTCCCTGAGCATCTTGCGAAAATGGTCGTTCCGAGGCCGCTCTCGCGCTTCTGCGGGCGTGAAAACGATGTGTCGTATGACGCCCTGTGGAAGGAGTGCTCATGCACAGGATGGAGGGTTTCAACGGCAAGTAAGGTACGCCACTAAATTCCTGCTCGTTCATCTTCTGCACGTGTTAACTTCATTATCCATTCTCAGTGGTAGGCAAGACATCATCTTGAATTCCTTCATTCGGCGATTTGGGAAGCAGGTCGAAACAGCCCCATCTTTGAAGTGCTGTTACCAATGACTAACGGCATGGACATCTGGCCTCATTCAACTTCATGAACATACTGCTCCGAGACGAGCAGTTTCTCGGCTTCTGCACCGTCTCCTGCGACACCAGAGCTACCCTCGTTAACTCGTATAAACTATTCTACTATTCTTTTATTGCACTATTTCTAAACTACGCAGAATCCCATGTGGTTCGCGCGATGCAAAGCCGAGAAGTTTCGTTCCAACGTTAGACTGCGTGGGTGAGCGGGCGGCCCGGTGAAGGGTGAGCACCGCAACTGGAAGACCTGAACCTGGCGATTGCTGGCCTTTGTAGGAGATCCTGGTTCCACAAGGCATGGTCCATGAGCGACGGGCGGCATGTTGGGTGGACAGGCACTGCCAGGATCTAAACGTCGATGACTACAAGTCTCTCTTGGGGGGCTGTATTTCCTCTGGCTGGCATGGAGACTCTTGAGGAGGGAAGAATCTGGCTTTATTAGATCGGCTCAGAAGGATGAGCCTGTAAGTCGCTTCGCTCTTCCCTTTAAACAGTAATTGAATCGATCAACGCTGAGGGCCTACTTTGTACTATGTGTGACCTGGGCTAGGGTAGAGACCAGGTGGTCTAAGTCTTAAGCAGCAGGGTTGTTGGAAAGGCGGGAGAATAGAAAACGTCCACACGATGTTACCATATCCTGGATCGAATTAACTACGTACTATCCACATAAAATTCGCATTCTTGACCTCTTTCCAGAGCCTTCAACGTCACTGTTCAATGCTTCGATGATTCACATTGTGTTCTGCGATGACTCGGAGGGCTACCAGGATCGCTAGATGTGTATCACTTTTGATTGACATTTCGTACGTCTTATCTCCGCACTCAACGTCGATGATCGCAAGGTCTTGATAACGGCTTGTTTCATTCCACTTGCAACGGCAACACTGTTTGTGGCGGCTAGGTAAGAGTTGCGTCGATCTCTCCTATCGGCACAAGGAACTGAATGGTTTGTCTTTCCCTCACGATAGAAATCGTCGCTTCGATTCGCACACGGGGCTGCTCCAAGTCTCTCTCCAAGTCAAATCTCCTGCCCTGTGTCCACCCAATCCTATAACGGCAGACAACTGGGCCCTATAACTTGCCACTAATGCTCAATCGACTCCTGAAACATCGCCACGAAACAATGGAAGGTGACCTGCAACCTCGTTACCATTGGAGATCCTGTATAAGATCATCGACGACCATTGGGAGACGCTGCGGAGGGATGGTGGTCGTTTTGGGCTCCTTAGCCTCTCCCGAACATGCAAGGCGCTGGAGAGCTATTGCCGCCCGTTCTTGTATCGGAGCCTTACGGTGTATAGACGCGAACGGAGTCACACACTCTTGGCTACGGGATTAGTGATCAGCCCCGAAGCGTTTATAGTTCTGGCATCTCGTTCCCCAGAGGTTGCGGCCCTTGTTCGGGAGTTGCAAATTATACTCCCCAGATTCCCTCCCAAACAAGGATCTCGTTTGAAGAATATACTAGGTATCAGGCCACAACCAAGATTGGACGCCTGGAAAGTTCTTCTCTCCAGCAACTTCTCAACGTAATCAAGCTTGAACTGGTCAATAGCGGGCAGGAACTTTTGACAGAGCCCACGCGGACTTCCCTGACAAACGCGATCAGAGAATTGAAATCCTTGCAATCCTTCATTTGGACAGCGAACTGTATCTCAACGGACATGGTAGTACGCCTATCACCTAGCAGCCTCAAGCATCTTTCCCTTCTCCCACGGAACGGCTATGTTCATCCACCACCTGCAACTTCGAATCCCGCCGACGTTGCTCACCTCGAAAGTCTGAGGCTTTCAAGAGTTCTCAACTTCCGCTGGTGGAGGTCGATGTTTATGAACGACGGCAAGAAATTCGACCTTTCTTCCCTCACCCACCTCCAGCTCAGCTTTCGGTTCTTCCACAACATCCTGTTTTACACCTATGCCTTATCGGTACTCACCAACCTGCGCTGCTTGCATCTAGGACTAGCTGTCCTCAACGGCACGATTGAGTCTCATTCAATGGCGCTTCTGGCTCATCTGAAGCTGGTCGAACTCGTCATACCGAGCGGGAATTCGTACGAAGTCCTCCCATCGGCATTCGTATGGTTGGAAAGGGCCTTCAGGTACAGAATGCATACGACAGCGTCGTTGTTTCCGCCAGCAACCCACCAAATCCAAGTCATCATTCTGTTCCAATCAAACTCGGATTACTACGACGACGATGACACTTGGGAGGATGAATATGTGTGTCAGGCCGAGCTCTGGAGGTCCACATTCGGCGGGGAGAAGCTTGCCCAGCTGGAAGAGCTGAACCTGGCGATTGCTGGCTTCTCGAGGAAGTGGTGGTTCGACAAGGCATGGGCTCTACGAGAGAGAAGGCCTGTTGGGTGGGAAAGGCATTGGGATCCTGTCATTGACGACTACAAATCACGCGTGACGGCTTGTAGCTGCTCTGGCTGGGAGGGAGTGCTTGAAAGATCGAGCGTCTGGTCTTATTAGCCTAGCTCGGATATACTGTGAGTCACCCGTCCCTTCAAGAAATCAAGTCAACTCACGCTGAGAACCTGGGCTGTGTGTTGGATAGGAGAGAGAGAATGATGGCAGCGAGTCGAGCATCTGCCCAAGCCTTAGGAGGCACCTTGGCGGAGAAGGCGGGAGGAGAGAGTGAGTTGAAAGCACGCGACCAGTGCCTGACTCAATGTACGCACCAAGTTGATTTTCCTTGACATGCCCTGAAATGAGGCCTTTATTGATGCTTGCGATATCTCTTATATTTCCGATTTGTGACTGGAACATGATCTTACTGTACCTTTGCATACCATGTTCGAGCTGAGAGCCTGGTTGTGGTAGAAACCGTTGTCGCCAAACAAAGAAGGTAGTGAAATTAAGCTTAGGCACATGTTCGGAAAAGGGTCAATCCGACGGTATGGGCCTTCTCATTTTGTGTGTGGTGATTGACAGGAGGTGGGCTCTGCACATCTCTCTCTCTTCACTTTTGGATTGACATGTAGGACGCCATTGCCCAGCTGGTTAAGGCAACAGAGCATCGATACTGTGACAATCACTGATGCATTTACCATGCATGTTCGAGTCTTGCTGGCGTCCCAGAAGGACAGTCCCGGGTCCAATACCGTCCACTACAATTTTTTGAAAGCGGACCTTCCCTTTGCGAACGGAGTATTCCACATGTTTGCCTCACAATTTTCGAGTCTGTGACCTGCGAACAATCTAACCTTCTAGAAAATGCTACGGGTCGACGCTGACTGATGTCCAATTCTTCAATCTCACCTGAGGCGCAATTCAACAGGTCAGCTTGAGGGGGGAAATTGCTGTGATCAGCCCCATACCGTGTCAACCTTCATAAGGGATAGAATATGATTGGCTCTTGTTCAGCTGTACGATTGACACCATGGCCGACGGGTTAAGGCAATGAGTCAGAGTTACATATAGTGAACCTTGTTTGTGTCATTTGTCTCGTTTATGCAGGTTCGAGCCCTGCTGGTGTCACCTTCCAGTGTTCCTACAAGGATTCAGGTTTTTGTGTATGCGGAAAGCAAATTTCAATCATCATCATCATCATCATGAAACCTGAATGGAACGTTCGGCTTCTCAAAGGAGCTATATAACTGTATTGAAGATAGGTGATCGATAGCCGAATCAAAGTCTAGGGGGAAGGGAGGGGCCACTTTACACGACGCGGTATTAGGTGCTTCAAGTTGATAATGTTCAAGATCCACTGGGCTTGGAATAAATCAATGGCAACAACAACGCGGCAAGCCCTGGTGAGTGCGATTACCAGGCGTAACATTCTCGCTCTATGCTTTCGATAAGTGATTCGGTGCGTTTCAGGATGAACGCGCTCTTTGGGCCGAGACCAGAAAGGAGCGTGGCGTACATGAGGCGCATGACGCATCCCTTGTGATCGATGACAAAAGCACACGATGATGTAGAGCTTTGAACACCATGCACGACATTGTAGCCTAATGGTGAAGGCAGCGAAGCATATGTGCTCCACGCGATGTGTTATGTAGGTTCGAATCCTACCAGTGTCATCGCCGAAGTTAGAGATATTTTCGCGAACATTGTTTTTGCGCATTGGAGAGGAAGGGGAGTAAGCTTGTCGGGGCTGAGGCTTGTTGACATGGATATTCTTTCGATTGTCTCGGACTGCTCGTGCAGCCTGGAGATGGGTAGGAGGCGAAGGCGCGTCGTGGTCGACTCGAGGCATTTCTTTGTCCCGTAGATGGACATGTATAAGACTTACTGGTGTAAGGCAGATGAGAAGACACTATAGCCTAACGGATAAGGGAGCGGAGCAGTTCGGAAATGGATAACACCGCATTGATTGTTCGCTTATGTAGGTTCGAGCCCTGCTGGTGTCCGTCACTCAGGAAAAAGTTCTCTAAACTGTTTTACCATTGAGGAATGATACGGATATTTACCGACACTTCACTACTCCTTCCGAAGGAAAGAACAATATCAAAACGAGAGGGAGCGTAGACACGGCTGAGCCTTCGAGGATGTGTGGAACGATGTGCAGATCGAAGCTTCTCATCAAGCGCGTGGAGATCGATTTGGGACACGAGGCAGGCTCTTCATATGCTTCCCGTCAGGTAGTGATGCATTAATGATGTCAAGCTCTGGGAGACACCATAGCCTAACTGGTCAAGGCGGCGTAGCTACATGGCATAACTGACTCAATGCGTGACTCGTTGATGCAGGTTCGAGTCCTGCTGGCGTCTCTCTACTGTTATCCTAGACTTTTTTCTCATTTCTTTCTTTAAAGAATTTTGCCAACTCTTTCGACTGTAGCGTGCTCCTTGCGAAATAACCGTGTTAAAGCATTCTGGTCAAACACCACAGATAGACGTCCAACGCGAAGATCTGATCAATCTAATGTTCATTGAGATGATGATGATGCAGTGAGAACCTAACCCTAAGTGACTGGAATCTTTTGTCCCTTCCACTCATGTTGACGCGCGCTGCGGCTTAGCCTCAATAACCGTCCTCGCCGTTCACAGATTAGATTCCAGACCATCGATGAGAAGTTGGACATCTGTGTAGAGCTGTTTCAAACTTCATCATGGTGAGTCCTGTCCATTTTGGATGGGGAATGTTTTGGGCGAGGTTCCTCAAAGTGAGATACGCGTATCGTGGAGAGAGTAGAGACTGTTCTGCGAAGGAGGGAGCAGCGAATCCACATTCCTCAACCCATAATTCTTGAATAGACGCCGATGCCACTCCCATCCTTCCCCATAGACCGTCTGCCAGACATGTGCAAGGACCGTCATCGAATACGACCACGCCGTCAGGAATCGGTTCTGTGTCGCCTGTGGGACGGTAGTAGAAGAGAAGATGATTGTGAATGAGATCGATTTTGACGAGGAGAGTAATGGAGCTGCGATGGTGCAGGGCAGCTACGTCGGGCAAGGTGCTAGTGAGTAGTTCACACTCACTCCAGCCGTTGTTTCATCGCGTCTCGCTGTGTTGGGATTGGGCGTTATCGCCCTTTGGAGAGGCTCGGAATATTGCGAGGAAATACGCTAATGTATGGAACACTTAGCGCACGCCCGAATGAGTGCCCCGTTTGGGAATCGAGAGGAGGTGAAGGTGAGTTTCGTCGTTGGTCTGATCATATCGGTCTTGGTGTCCGTGATTATCCAGACGTCAAGGACAAAGCCCAAACAAAGTCCAATTCGGCAAGAGGTAATGGCAAGACGACGAAAAAGGGCAAGGCGGCGAAGGGCAAAGGCAAATCACGGCCGTGGATGGTGCTGGGGAAGCTGGAAGACCGAAACGGAAACAGGGAGAGGACTAGTACGCAGATGTGGATGGGGACGACGACGATGAGGAGGGACTTAATCCCAGCCTTTTGGAGTAGGAGGAGCAGGGGAAGACGTAGAAATGCGGAATATCGATCCTGTGCTCCTCACCCACTCTCAAGCGCTTACGGGGGATGACTCCTTCGTCTCTGCTGTTGGTGAATCGGTCACCGCAATCTTCAAAGGCCTAAGTTCTAGTACCAACCGAGCAACTTCGGATGACGCTTTCTTCTTGCAGTGAATTCGTCTAAGTCTTACTTTTCCTCCCAGAGAGCAAAGATGTTACGCGATTACACTAGTGAAGGCCCTCCAGTGTGGTTGCGTGCGATGCATAAGTGAGAAGATCATTTTAATGTGAGATTTCGTGGGCAAGAGGGTCCGAAGCATTTGCCTCTCTGGCGTTTGGGTTCACAGAGGTCGCGAACGTCATTCAGGATTTGCAAAACTTCCTCCCCATAATGCGCCTGCGCGAAGGTGTTGGTCTGAAGAACTTGATAAGTCTCCGGCCGAAGCCCAATCCACGGGTGGACATTTGGAAAGTGCTCATCTCGAGCGGATTCTCAAACATCATTACACTCAAATTAGTCGACTTGAATGGGCGTGTCTTGTCAGAGCCGATGAAGACAACCATGCCCCACGCGATCGAGGAACTGAAATCCTTGCAGTTGTTCGAATGGACAGCCGCTCAGGTCGCAGTCGACATGCTGGTGCACTTAGCACCAAAGAACCTCAAGCATATTTCACTTTGGCCGCTCTATGGCTATATTCAACTACCTGGTACAACACACAGTACAGTATTGCTGTTTCTTGCACTCATCTAGGAGTATCAACACCAGCTATCTCAGGCACGGGAGTAAGGATTGACGTTTCGTGCGCCTTTCCGCCGCGATCAAGGTGATTGAGCTCGAATTCTTGGCCACGGGTTGTTCCATCTCACTTCCAACCCATACTGTGATCACCGTTGGTATTGACTAGGTAAGAGTTGTGATTATTTCATAGTCCAAGAGATATGGGGAATGAATGACATCTCTTTCTACCTTTGATAGAAATCGTTGCACAATCGTCGCATAGACACGCACTGGGCTGAACTTTAACCCTCCGTCAAAGTCAAATCTCCCGCCTCCCCACCCCCATCCTACAACAACAGGGCACAGTGCCCTGCAGCTTTCCACTAATGCTCAATCGAATCTTTAAACATCGCCACCAAACAACCAACTTGCAGCCCCGTTTACCATTGGAGATCCTATACAAGATCATCGACGACCATTGGGAGACACTGCGGAGGGATAGTGGTTGCTTTGGACTGCTTAGCCTCTCTCGCACATGCAAGGCGCTGGAGAGCTATTGCCGGCCCTTCCTTTATCGGAGCCTAACGGTGTATGGATGCGAAAGACGTGATGTAATCTTCCCTACGGGATTTGTCACCACCCCCGAAGCGTTTACCATTCTGTTATCCCGCTCCCCAGAGGTTACAACGCTCGTTCAGGACTTGCGAGTTATCCTCCCCAGATTGCCTCCTAAAGAAGGCACTAGCTTGAAGAGGATGATTGGTATTAGACCAAGATTGGACGCCTGGCAGGTTCTCCTTTCCAGCAACTTTTCAGGCGTGACCAAGCTAAGCCTGGTTAACGGCGCTCGGGCCATGTTTACAGAGCCTATGAAGACTTCCCTTCCCAATGCGATCAAACAATTGGAATGTTTGCAGTCGTTCGTTTGGTCGGGAGACGAGATCCCAACAGACATGGTGGTACGCCTATCCCCCAGGAGCCTTAAACACCTGGCCCTTCTCCCGCGGATTGGTTACGTTCATCCCCCGCTTGCCATTTATGCAGCGAATCCTGGAGACGTCGCTCACCTGGAAAGTCTGCGACTATCAAGATATCTTGGTTTACGCTCGTGGCAAGCGATGTTCATGAACGACGGAAATCCATTCGACCTTGACTCCCTCACCCATCTCCAACTCAACTTTCGGTTCCTCCACTGCATCTTACCTTACTCTCAGAATATCTTATCCATGCTGACGAATCTTTGCTGTTTGCATCTTGGACCAGTTTACACTCTCGAGGGCTCAGCCGAGTCCCGGTTGATGGTACATCTGACCCATCTCAAGTTGGTCGAACTCGTGATACCGAGCGGGAACTCATACGAGGGTCTCCGGTCGGCATTCGCGTGGCTGGAAAAAGCCTTTAGGCACAGAATTCATACAGCATCGACGACAATGACATCGCTTCCGCTGGCAATCTCCAAAATCCAGATCGTCATCCTCTTCCAGTCAAACCTGCATGCCGCATATGCTTGGGAGGATGATTATGCGAATCAGGTTGAACGCTGGACGTCCACAACCAGCAGTGATAAGCTCACCCAGCTCGAGGAGGGGTTGAATCTTGTGGTCGCAGGTTTCTCGAGGAAGGCGTGGTTCGACAAGGCGTGGTCTATACGCGAGAAACGCCCAATTTGGTGGGAAAGGCATTGGGATCCTGTCATCGACGACTACAAATCACGCGTGACGGCTTGTACCTGCTCTGGTTGGGAGGGAGTGCTTGATTAACGGGAGGATGCGGACGTATTAGCATCGCTCAAAGGTTCAAGCATTTACAAGCCCGTATGTGCTGTGAGTCTCTCATCTCTTTAATCGATGAAATTGACTAACGCTGAGGAACTAGTGTGTGTGTGTGTGTGTGTGTGTGTGTGTGTGTGTGGGATAGGGTAGAGAAGGATGCCGCAGCGAGGCTAGAGTTTGGTATAAGCCTTAGGAGGCGGCCTTAGCGGAAAACGCGGAAGGAGAGGAAATATCGCCCTATATTAATGAATAAGTAGGCCCTGCAACGAGTTCCGTCTGTCTATTTGACCTCAAAATGCCACTGTGCAACGTAAGTTATTGCACGCGTGGTGTGCATGATGCGCATCGTACATCCTTTCCAATCGATAACAAAAGTATATGTTGACGGAGGGGTTTGAATACTGTGCGCGATACTGTGGACTAATGGTCAAGGCATCGAAGTACGTGTCTATTTGCACCAACTTGCTATTGCTACGGTTGTGTAGGTTCGAGTCCCACCAGTGTCGATCGAAAGGCTTAAGGCATACTTTTTGTGATTGATCTTCTGCTTAGTATAGAGGAAACAAAGAAACAGGGATTGGGGATGAGATAAAGGGATTCTTCCGATTGTATTAGACTGTTCGTGGAGCCTAGAGATCTGTAGGAGGCGAAGACGGGGGCGTAAAGCAGCTGAAAAGGTAGACCGGTGACCGGATGTCCATGAGCTTTGCTCGATACCGGGAAAGCTGGGTTTGTTTTGGCAGGGAGCGCATGCTTACGTACGAAGACTCCTATAATAGGCAGGTATAAATTAGTCCCACGCGCGAAGGCACGGCGCTTAAACGTGCGCTGAGCTTATACACCGGCCTTCTTCTGGGTTATTAACACTGTACAGTGCTCGTTATAACTCCACAAAAACAATTTGACGGCTTTTTGATGCAGAAGATTGAGGGTCTCCCATACCCTCAAGAAAATGTGCAGGCTTGGCCGTCTACAGCACCACCAAACCAAGGTACTACCGGCCTCGATTTGCAGAACATGTGGTCACTGCAGCGCCTGGAGCATCTTTTCGCCTACAGAAACTCTGTCTGTACCTGCTTTCAACCCTGCAGACGAGCCCCCTGCCGCTGTTTCTCCTGAATGGCCTCTATCGTTATGGATGAGGATCGTGACCCATCCAAAGGCCTCGGAGCGGTCCAAGTCCCGAAGCCACATCATTTAGAAGATAATTATAGCAGAATAGCATACATATTATAGGATTAGAGGGAAGAAAATGGGGAGACGCAGAGGGACACGATCGCGCAAGGCGACGCGAGACAGGGGCCGATCTCACATGACGATTTTGTGACTGCCTTTTTGAGAAGCCTTGAGATTTCAATTGCCGCCTTTTGCTCTGCACGCCAATTTAAACCCAGCTGTACCGGTCTGTCTATCGCCCCGCGCCAGACAGACCGGTCACCGGTCTACTGAAAAGGCGCTATGGCCTAACGGATAAGGCAGAGAAAGAAGTATGTACAAATTCCAACACGGTTACTTCGCTTCTGCAGGTTCCAATCCTGCTGGTGTCTACTTTCAGTGTTCCTAGTGAATTAAGGATCAGAGTTTTTGTATACGCGGATAGCAGATTCCAAACCATAGAATGTTCAGCTTCTCTAAGGAGCTGTACTAAATTGTCCTGAAAGGGAGTGGTCACGAGGCTAAAAGAGGATCGAGAAAAGCCTGTGGGGTCTCGGGCAACGGAAGATGTTGCGCTCTTCAGTGCAGCTGACCCTTCAAGGAGGCGCTTAACATCTGTATGTATAAGCTGACATTGTGGCCTTAGCGGGCACTATGTATATCGCGTTGATCTTGGGTAGATATTCATTTAGCTTTTGCATCCAGTTTTGGTGGCACCCTCAAGTTCAACAGCACTCAGTGACGCTTCCCGTTGACGTGATCAACGCCCTTGAGCTTCAAACAACGGCACGATAGAACTTCTCCCTCTTGGCCTGTACGATTGATACCATGGCCGAAGGGTGAAGGCAGCGAGTCAGAGTGCTATGTAGTAGATTGGCCATGCCATTTGTCTATCGTTTATGCAGGTTCGACTCCTGTTGGTGTCGTGGCGGTAGTATTCCAGATTTTTGTATTTGGCCGAGAGCATCAGATTCTGATTCAATTACGGAGCCTGGATGGAAAATTTGGCTTTTGGGGTTATGGGCTTCGCGAATGGGTTATAGGCGCTAAAAGATGTGATTGACACCCAACTTGAAGCGAGTGGCTTCTTTACGCATGTTAGACACAAGGCTCGACGATCGAGTGTTCCACCCTTCACATCCAAGCTACCTCTCTCACTCTGTGCTTTCGGCCGGGAGCTGGTGCGTTCTTTACGTTGAACAAAATCCTTAGGAGGTGCATGAGACACGCAGTGCATTATTTTCGATAGGCCACAGAAGCACATAATGGCCTAGGAATTTGAGCTTCATGCATGACACTGTTGTCTACTGGCCAAGGCAAAGAATGGAAATAGACGTTGAGTCGGTTATCTAGGTTCGAATCCTACCAGTGTCAATGAAATGAGGGCCCAGGTTTTTTGTGAATCATAGTTTCGAAGTGAAGCGGGATCGCCGAAGGCGCTCTTCAACGTGCATTTTTATTCCATTCCCTTTGCACTCCGGGACATACTACAAGGATACAAAGACGCCTTGTAGTCGGAGTGGGAGATTCGTTTCTCGCATTGACGAATGGGTTTATGGATGCCAAGTGTCAATTAAAGAAGAACACCATGGCCTAATGGATAAGGCAGCGGAAGAAGGTTAGTTCGAATTCTCTTCCTTCGCTGATGTAGGTTCGAGTCCTACTGGTGTCCTTGCCATGGAACACGACGTTGTGTAAACAGTTTTTCCTTTGAGAACTGATGAGGCTGAGGGGATGTATGGACGGATGAGCGCTCAGCGGACGCCTCTCATTTAGCACACGCAGATCGATTGCAAGAGAAAAAATGCAGGCTTTGCACGTGCTATCAGTTAGTCTTTCTCGGATAGAAGTATGCATTTGTATGCCATCATAGCTAACTGGTCAAGGCAGCGTAGCTACACCATGTCGCCAAGGTAGCTACGTATCTCTGCATGCAGGTTCGAGGCCTGTTGGTGTCGCTGTCAAGATGTTCCATTATTTTTAGTCATACTTTCATTTTATTTCGTTTATTTCTGACACTGCGTGAGATGAAGAATTTCACAATGCTTGACAGTAAGCATGTTCAATACCCGAGTGTCTGAATGCACTAAGTTCAATGCCATAAATAGACGCTCACTGATAAGATGCGATCAATCTTATCTTCCTTGAAATGATGATGATGATATAGTAAGAACCTAACCCTAAGTGAGTCGAATCTTTTGTCCCTTCCGCTCATGTTGACGCGCGCTTAGCCTCAATAACCATCCTCGCCATTCACAGATTGGACGCTAGACCATTGAAGAAAGGCTATATATCCATATAGAGGTGCTGGAACGGTAAAGATGGTGAGTCTTTCTCAAATTGGAGGAGAAATGGGTTGGGCGAGGTTTGCTCGAAACTGAGAAACGCGTATATCATCGAGCGAATTGAAGCATTGAACGCGAAGGAGGGGCACAGAGAAGCGATATCGCCCAACCCAGAATGCTTGAACGGATGCTAACAACATCCCTATTCCCCGTAGACTGTCTGCCAAACATGCGCAGGCACCGTCATCGAATACGACCACGCCGCAGGAAACGGCTTTTGCGTCGCCTGTGGAACGGTCGTCGAAGAGAATCTGATTGTGAATGAAATCGAGTTTGGAGAGACGAGTAATGGGGCTGCGATGGTACAGGGGAGCTATGTCGCGCAGGGTGCCAGTGAGTGGTCGTTTCTATCTCTTTCTTTCATCGCGTCTCGCTGTCGCGAGTAAGCGTTGCCGCCCTTTTGAGGCCTTTGAATATGGCGAAGAAGGCGCTAATGCACGGATTAAACAGCTCACGCGAGGATGAGTGGACCGTATGGGAATCGCGGGAACAACGAGTCGAGAGAGCAAACGATTGCAAACGGTGCGTAACCCTTCCATTCATTCGAACTCACCCTGATCATTCCCATCTCGCTTTCATCTCGCTCTGTCTATATCGGTCAACCTCATAGCCAACAAGAAGATCCAATCCATCGCCAATGCCCTGCGTCTCTCTGAAATGGTCCAACTTGCCGCAACCCGTCTCTACACCCTCGCCGTTGAGCACAAGTTTACCAAAGGCCGAAAAAGCCTAAACGTCGTCGCTGTCTGTCTATACGTCGCATGTCGGCAAAAGGAAACCAAGACGTACATGTTGATCGACTTTTCGGATCTATTGACTGTCAATGTCTTCGAGGTGCGTTTTCCGTCATTGATTTTGGTAGATACTGACAGGATGTGGCGTCTGTTAGCTGGGGCACACCTATTTACAGCTTGTTCAGACGCTCAATCTACGACTTCCGCTTGTCGATCCCAGCCATTACATCTCTAGATTTGCGGCGTTGCTAGAGTTTGGAGACGAGACGGCCAAGGTGGCCACTGATGCTGTCAGGTACGTCTGCCTATCTCACTTTCCTCACATCCTCTCGTCCCTCTTTCAACACCTTGGTATACTTTCCCCCGGACACCCGCTACACTCTCCTTATTCGACTCCTCATCCGGCTCTCTACCCATCGCTAACTCCTCCCTGTCAGACTCGTGCAACGTTTCGATAGAGACTGGATGACACGCGGTCGTCGTCCAGCTGGGATATGCGGTGCAGCCCTTCTCCTTGCCGCACGCATGAACAACTTTCGACGTTCGGTCGAGGAGATTGTGCAGGTGGTCAAGATTGCGGATACAACGTTGAAGAAGCGGTTGGACGAGTTCAAGGTGAGCTCTGAGCGTTTTAGCGTTGTCTTGACCCTCTTTCCGTCCCCACCACAGTGGTTTGCTTCCTCGTTGATTCTTGGCTCCTCCTCCTCCTCCTCCTCCTCCTTAGTCGTTTCCGCCGCTTTTTGCTTCTCGTGTATGATAACGACGCTAACTCTTATGACGCTCGCGATAGGCAACGCCCAGCGGATCGCTCACACTCGCTGACTTTCGGAACGTATGGTTGGAGGACGAGATGGATCCTCCCGCGTATACGAAAGGACGAGAGCGTGAAGAGAGGGAGAGGGAGGAGAGGGAGGCTGCTGAGCTGGGCGAAAACGATGAAGACGGTGTTGAGGAGGCGGACGGAGGTGAGTTTTTATGTTTTATGTTTTCGTCATATCGTTGACGCTTGGTTGATCTAGGTGGCAAGGGAAAGGGAAAAGCCAAAGCCAAATCTAAGAAGGGAAAAGGCAAGGCGACGAAGAAGGGCAAGTTGGTCAAGGGAAAAGGAAAGGAGAAGGATCCCGATCTCGCTGGAGAATCTGGGAGGCGAAAGCGAAAACGGGGAGAGGATTCAGATGAGGACGCGGACGCGGACGGAGAGGACGATGACGAAGTTGTGCAGAGGAGGAGAGGGTTTGATGCGAGTCTCTTGGAGCAGGGTATCTTGGCTGGTGTTGCTGGGGCTGGAGGATCAGGGGAAGATGTCGAGATGCGGAATATCGATCCCGTTCTGCTCGCCCAGTCTCAAGCTCACACAGGAGATGGGCGAATAGCGGGTTCTTCGTCATTGCCACTAGCCAATGGGAGCATGCCGCCCTCCTTGGGGACGTTCGTCAATGGTTCGCTACCACCAGCGATCGGCTCTTCGTCGTCATTCTCGATGATGCCGCCATCGTCGTCTGGTACACTCGTTGATGGGCCTTCTTCAACTTTTCAACCACCTATCCCTTCATCTTCATCTTTCCAAGACCCCAAGGCATCCCATCAACCCTCCTCTGCACTCCCGCAATCTCTCGGCCCATCCTCATCGCTCCAAGAATCAATCGAAGCCTCCCTCTCTACCGCAATCGCGCAAGAGGTGGAGGGGTACTTGCACGATGCTCAAGCAGAGACGCTCGGTCGAGCGTTGGATCAGGAAGAGGAGAGGAGGAGGGCTGAGAGGGAGGAGCGGTGGAGAAGGGGAGAGGAGGCCAGGCGGAGGATGGAGAGGGAGTTGGAGATGGGGACTGGGATTGGTGGTGGCGCTGGCATGGAGATGGACGCCGAGAGCGGTACCTCTGGAGCAGGGCGAGAAGAGGTTGGGATGGGACCAGCGCCTCCACCCACAGTAGGACAAGGGGAAGGGCCGCCGCAACCAGAACGGGATGGAGCCGCACAACCAGCTGCGACAGGCAACGCTGGAGATGAGGAGATTGACGAGTTGACAGGGTTGGACGAATCGGAGCTTGACAAGTTTTTGCTCTCGCCTGCCGAGGTCAAGATCAAGGAAAGGGTTTGGGTAGAGTTGAATCGGGATTATTTGGAGGCGTTGGCTGGTGAGTGCTTTCCCATTTCTATCCCCTTGGTTTTGGTATGGCTCCGGTGCTCCTTTGGCTTTCTTGGTCCTTTCCTGCCTGTTGGATGGGGTCGCTCTCGAGGAGCGACGCCTGCGTTGAGGAGGAGATGGGGCGTCGTTTCTTCCTCTGCGTTTAACATTCCATGCGTCTGCATTCTTCTCAAGAGGCGAGTTTTCTGGGTGAGGTTTATTGTCTTAGCCTTGTATCCGCATCGCCGATCGCGAGAAGTCGGTGGATGGGAAAGGGACACAAGTACTACAGTGCTCCAATACCATGCTCTATTGCGTCGTCGATTACCTGACGGTCTGCGGTCTTATAAAAGTCCACCTTGTACTGCAACGGGCGGGCCTACAACCTACTTGTACTTCTTGTCCGCGGGTGGTCTTTTGGTCTATTCTGCCACCCCATACCACCTTTTGTTTTCCACCATTGCGTCCTGACACATGACTGACTGGTTATTTTGCTTTTGATCGACAGCCAAGGGAGAACAGGCCGAGACGGGTGCACAGGCCAAGAGTCGAAAGGTTCGTTTCTCGTTGATGTCAATTTCTTTTTTCGTCATGTCGAAAATCGATATGTTTTTTCTTCTTTACTTTTCCTCAATTGTTGAGTGATTGGGGCCACTATTCCTTTTCTTCTTCGTTTCTAAATCTTTCAACTTGTTTTCCCCTCGGGCTGTATACTGACTCGCCGTTCTAGCGCCGAAAAACAAATAACAAGCCCCGCGACGCATCTTCTGCTGCTGGTACCTCTGCGGCCGAATCCGTTCGGAATCTAATCAAAAAGAACCCAAAGTACTCGAAACGGATCAACTACGATGCCCTCAAAGATCTGTTTGTCGACCAACCTCAGAGTGGAATTCTGAATCCCGGGATACAGGTTGACGACAAGGACGAGGAGGATGGCGCAGGTTTGTATACCTTGGACGATGATAAAGCCGACGACGACGTCGGAGTGGGAGCCGACGGAGGATTAGCCGGAGAGGGGATGGTAATCATCGAGGGAGAGGCGAGTGTCGTTCAGTTGCCTGAGAGGCCTGGTGCGAAGAAGACGGGTGCCGACGTGGGCATGGCGCATGGACATGAAGAAGAAGACGATGATGAGGATGAAAAGGATGACGAGGATGGGGATGGAGATGTTCAGATGGATGGGGGGTGGGAGGAGGCTTGGGAGCAGGAGGTGTAAGTTTTGGTGTCGAGTGTTTTTGAGAGGTGTTTTTCTGGGTGTTCTTGGTGGGTCTGGAGACGTCTGTGGATTTTTAGAGAACCCCTATTGCGTCACTTGTTGTTTTCTTTTTCCTTTCTTTCTTGTTGAACCGTTGTAATCGTCCATTCTTGGGACTCGGGCTGTCCATTCTTTATCCAATTACACCATCCTGTTCTTCGTATCATAGCGAAACCAACTGTGTACAGTATTACCATTATTGCCATTGTTTTT